TTTGTGCATTTGGATCATTTGAACTAGCAAGCATATCTCTTAAAGCGCGGACATTTGTTGGAGAATTCTTTTTAGCGACTTTCAAAGCGTCTTGATATTTTTCTAATTCTACATTAATTTGAATTTGTTTTAAATCAGATGGAATTGCAGCAATAAGTTTTTCTGGTTTGCCTTTGAATTTAGTTCTAACAGCCTTAAAGATTAAATCTGCTTTTTGTTCATCAGTAAGAGATGTATTTTGTTTTAAGAAATCAAGTAATTCAGGTTCTTTAGCAACTTCTATTAATTCTAAATAATACCCAAATGCAGTCTTAGGTGTTGTTTCATCATCACTTGGTGATGATAGTACTGCATTAATAATTTCATGTAATAATTGGAATCTTCTTTTCTCAAAGAAATATTCTGCAATTGTTGCAACATCAGTTGTAGATTTTAAATCAAAAACATTGACACGAGCAAGACCTTCATCAACCTTTTTCATTGAATCTAATAATTCCATTACACGTTCTTGTGCACCATATTTTTTAACCATCATTGTATGTTTAGCACGATCAATAACATTTCCACATCTTTCAATAATTTTATCAATTAATCCTAATACCTCTTTTCTTTTACCAATATCAGTGAAAGGAATAGTATTGAAATATTTAGATGACCCCATGTATGCTTTTTCATATAATTCAAGATGAAGAGTAATATCAAGATAAATATCCCATAATTCATTCTTTTCTAAGAAATCAAGTAAATGAGTAATATCTTCTTGATGTGTATCTTTTAACTTCTTTAATGTTTCTTTCATAATTTGATATTGTTTATTATCTAATAATGCTGGTAAATAAACTGTTTGGAAAAATGCATTTTCTGATAATTTAACTGGTTCTTCAAGTGCATAAACAAATGCCTTTTCAAATTCACCTTCAACGATATATTTATTAACAATCCATTGTTTATGTTTTTCGCATGGACAAAATTGGAAATAATATTTTGCTTCTGAATCCCAAGTAAAATGTTGTCCTCTTGTTTTTGATCGATTTTTATTATCAATAATTTGTTGTTTAATTTGAATCCATTGTTCATCTGGTTGTTTAATATTTTCAGGTGCAACTAATCCTTGTCCTTTACCATTTGATTTATTTGGAACTGATTTAGGATTACTAATAAAATTAACTAACATTTGACAAGATGCATTATCTCCAAACTTAGTATTTTTACCAATTTCCATATAAATATTTTCTACAATTTCCATTAATAATGGTTTATCTACTTTCTCTTTTAATTGATCAAATACATCTCTTGCTTGTTGGTATTGTTTTTGTTGTAACGTTTCATAAAATGATGTCATTAATACAGGGACATTATCTAATCCAAGACATTCTCCAATTGCCAAAGCATCATTCTTTCTAAAAACACTTTTATCATGTAATTCTGAATGTAAAGATTTTGCAATTTCAGTATTAGTAAATAATGTATGGAATGGAATACCTGAAGTAAAATGTGTTGTAGTCATTAGAGTGAAATAAACTCTAACTAATTGTTTTAAATGGTCCATTTTTATTTTCATATTTTTTAATGTTTCTTTTTTACATTCTTCTTCAGTTAAAAGTTCTTCAAAATATTGTAATAACTGATAAACAAGACATACCATATTTCTACTTTTTTCTCTTGATAAAACTTCACTTTGTAATTGATTAGCAACATTAAGACAATTTTCATAACAAATTCTTGATCCCATTTCAAGTGTAGGTGCTTGAGCATAAATTTCTTTCAAATTATTAAATAATTGACTATATCCTCCAACAAGATTCTTTTCAAAATTATCATAATATTGTTGTGTAGTTTCTTTGGCAAATGCCAATAAAAATTCTTCATCCCTTAGTCCTGAGAATTTACTTAATATATCATTTATTGACAATTTACTTTGATCTCTATTCTTTTGAACACACTCTTCTATAATCTTTAAAATATCTGTCCTTTTAGATGACATATATGATACAAATTCACTTGCTTCTTCTTGTGAGTCTCCATCTAAAATTACATAAATTGCTGTTACTATAATTTGTTTTTCTTTATCTTTTGGTGCGGGTTGAATAAAACTAAGACAGTCATAAGCTAATCTATATTTTTTCTTTTGTAAAAGTAAATCAACAGTACTAACATTAATATCAATTTCTTTTACTTCTAAAACCATTTCTATTTGATGTATTAAATTGGTTTTGTCATACATTTGTTTTAAATTAGCAGGGAAATTATCTAATGAAATTTCACTAACACATTCATTAAATAACTTCCAACATTGATTTTGAGTATATACACCTTGTTCTAATACTTTTACTGTTTGAATTAATCTTTTTTGTGGATTAGAAATTCTTATTAATACTGCAAAAATTTCATCAAATAAATTATTTGTTGGTGTTCTTTTATTTAATAATTCTGTTAATTGTAATGTAACTATTTTTTCTACTAAATCTTTAGATTTCGTTTGAACTGCATGAGAATAAGCATTAGTATAATCTGCTTTACTGAGATAATAATTTGCCATTGTATCATGGAATTTTTCATTACCTCCAACACTTGGATCTAATAATACTTTAAATGCTTCCATTGAATACAAATTAAAATTAACATTAAATTCTCCATTTCCTGGATTAAATGCACTTTCAAGTTCTCTGTATTGAGTTAATTTCATTTCAACAAATTGTCTTAATGTTTCTGGTAATGAATTAATAATTTCAGTATCAAAAACTGGTATTTTAAAATTAGTAGGGTCAACAGAGAATAGTGCAAATACAATAGCAAGATCATCTCTTCCCATATCATGTAATAATGTTTGTGTAAATGAATCTAATTTTCTTGTTTTTTCAATAAGAATTGAATAAACAATTGATCCAAATAAATCAATTCTAAACAACTCACACATTTCTTTTGCTGCTTCTGTTTCATGTTTTTCAAAGAATAAATAATCAACAATTTGTTGTGGAGAAACTGTTTGGATTAATTGAATGGCACACGTTGACTTACAATTCCATAACTCCCAATATTCTTGCATGTGGTGATTTAACTTTAATAAATATTCTACAAATTTTATAGTCTTATCATAAACAGGTGCTTGGAATAATAATGTTTGAATTTCTTTTAATTCTTTTTCTTCATTTTTAATTTCTACATTACCAGAATTATCAAATAATTGTTTTAATCTATTTGACGCTTCTTTTAATATATTAATATTTTCAAATGTATAATGTGGATCTTCACTAAGTAATAATCTAGTATATGAAGTAAGTGTATATCCTGATGTATAAATCTTTTTAAATAACTGATGAATATCAGTTAATTCTTTAGGTGTATTTTCGTCAATAAACTTTTCACATTCAGTAAAAAATTCTATTGAATTTTCTTGTGGATAAGTATGAATTGCTTCTAATAACATTGCTAATTGATCAACTTTTGTAGCATTTGGAACTGCAAGAAGTGCTTCAATAAATTCTTTTGCTGGAAGACCTTTTTGAAGAAGTGTATTCATTTGTGAATAAGTAATTAATGATTGACTTGCTGGTGGATCAAGAATATCTAATGGAATTGGGATATGGCGAGATAATGAAAGACTAAGAAGAGTATCTGAATCACTAAGAAATAGTGTTAATGGATCTTCAACAAATGGAAGAGATGATAAAGTATTTAGTCTATGAAGTAAAAATTTCATTTGTTTAGAAAATTCTTGATTTATAACACTAGAGTTGTAAGATAAGACTGTTCTCACACTTTCTACATTTGGTTGACTTTGGAAAATTTCGTATAATACAAGTTGAACAAAACTTATTTGTTGTTTTTCATTTAATGAATTTAATACCTCTCCAAAAGTAGAACGTAATAATGTTGAGGTTTCTCCTAATGAATTTGAAAAAGAGTTATGAAGATCATTAACATATTTAATACATTTTAACATAGCATAGTCATTACTAAATATTGATTTATAAGCATCATTTTCTTCAATTAATTGTAATAGTTCATCTAAATGTTCTAATACTCCTGTATGATGTAACATAATATAAGGTAATGAATATTTTCCAACTAATAATAACATTGGATGAATTGTTTGAACATTCATTTCAGTTAATTTATTACAAAGAATTAAATGAAATTTTAAAACTTTAATTTTTTCAGATGATAATGTATTCCATCCATTTAATTTATCATCACTTGTATTTTCTTTAGATAATGAAATTAATAACTCAATAATCTTTAAATTTCTTGGATATTTCTCAGCAATTTCAAGAATCAAAACTGGAACTAATCTATTAAAATAATGTCCAAGAATACTCATATGTCTTTGAATTATTTCTGAATCACTTTCTGCTAATGTATGTTTTCTTGCAATTTCATCAATAGCATCAAGAGCTGTTTTGTATGGAGTTAATAATACATGCTCATTATTATAAACAGTACTTTTATAATATAACTTCCAAAATATAGATTGATCATTATATAAAGTTGAAGTGGAATCAGTTAAAATAGGATTTGTAAATAATGTTTTAGAAAAACTAGAACATTGAGTTCTATACAATTCTAAGAAATGATAAAAGAAATGACTCCCAGATAAGAATAATGATTGAAGAATACTTGTAAAATTTAATTTAGGTGTTTGGTTAAAACAAAATTCAGACTTATTTAAGAATAATGTAAATAATGAGTCAAATGTTTTATCATAACGTTCATCAATATTAACTAAAACTCTTAAAACTTGATACAATGTATTATAATCTTCTTTAGAAAGTAAACTATTAAATGTATCTAAATATGCTATCAATACATTTGCTGTTACTAAATCATTTTCATTTACTAATTTTACAAGCTCTTGACATAACAACCCAAAATGAACTGGATTCTTTTGAAGTCCTTCACAAAGGAATTGAACTTCTTCTTGTCCTAAATGAGCAACTGAAGGATCATTAACGATTGCATAAAATGAAGTAAAATATCGTTTTCTATCTTCAGGAATATCGGTAATGGGGAAAATTGCATCTACAAGAAGAATACCAAAATGTATTTTTTTTTCAACTACAACAAGGTCTAAAGTAAAAAGTGATTCATCAGATTTTTCTGAACTATCTTTGAATGATTTATACAATAAAAATGAGAGCCATGCTAAATGAAATACAGAAGGAATATCTTCTGTAGCATTCCAGCTTGATGGAACAGCACCATTACAAAGATTAATTAATAATGAAATAACCCAACTTTTATCATTTTTTTTATAGAGTTCTTTCATAACAGCAGAAGCTGCATGAAACTTTCCATGTTTTAAAAGTTCATGAACAAGTGAATGAGATTTATTAAAATCATCAGCAGTAAGGAATGGGAAAAATGATGACATTAATTAGATTTTTAAGATTCTGATTCTTTTTTTGTGAATTGGGAAATTCGTTTTTTCTCAAAAAAAAGTAAAAACAAAAAAATATCAAAAAACAAAATTAAAAAGATGGTATTAAAATTATAATAAAAATATTAAAAATATTATTATTTGAGTAATTAACCCTATTAATTTTCATTGAAAAAATTTATAATCAATCCAACAAAGGATGAGTTCAAGACCATTTGTCACCATTTATGATGGAATTACTGGAGAAGCTGAAAAAACACCAGTTAGACTTCCAGCAGTTTTTCTTGCACCAATTAGAGGAGATGTAGTTCATTTCGTTTATAGAAATCAAAGTAAAAACACTAGACAACCAGAAGGAGTATCAACTGAAGCTGGTAAACAACACTCAGCTATTTCATGGGGAACTGGAAGAGCTGTAGCTAGAATTCCAAGAATTAGTGGATCAGGATCAGGAAGAAACGGACAAGGTGCTTTTGGTAATATGACTAGAAAGGGTCATATGTTCTCTCCACTTAAGAACTTCAGAAAATGGCAAAGAAAAACACCAAAACAAATGAGAAGATTTGCTGTTGCTTCATGTATTGCTGCTTCAGCTGTTCCAGCTCTTGTTTCAGCACGTGGACATCATATTGCTGGAGTACCACAAATTCCATTAGTTGTTAATTCAAAATCAATTTCAGTTATTAAGAAGACCAAACAAGCTGTTTATCTCTTAAAGAAAATTAATGCTTATTCAGATGTTCTTAAAGTTATTGCTTCAAAGACTGTTCGTGCTGGTCAAGGAAAAATGAGAGGAAGAAAGATTAAGGAAAGAAAGGGACCATTAGTTGTTTATGGTAATGATGATCTTCAAGCTGTTAAAGCATTTAGAAATATTCCAGGTGTAGATACATGCCGTGTTGAAAATCTTTCAGTTCTTAATCTTGCACCAGGATGTCATATGGGTAGATTCATTATTTGGACAGAATCAGCATTCAAGAAACTTAACACTATCTTTGGAACTCAAAAGAAGATGGCACAAGGTAAATCAGGATTTAGAATTGCTCATGCTCAAATGGCTGTTCCAGATATGAAGAGAGTTGTTGTTGCTGCTGAAAAAGCTAAACTTCTTAGAGCTAAAATTGTTTTACCAAAAGTACCAAAGAGAACAAATCCACTTAAGAACTGGGCTGCTATGGTCAAATTAAATCCATATGCTAAAATTGCTTCACATAAACTTGCACAAGTTGCTAAAGCACAAGCAGCACATAAAGCACAATATGCAGCTAAAGTTGAAAAGATTCTTGCAGCTAAGAAAGAAGCATTAAATCAATCAGTTGCTAAGAGATTTGTTAAAGCACAAAAAGTAGATGGAAAGGTTGTTAAAGTAAAAGTTGAAAATAATCTTCTTAAAGGTACTGTTAAGAGAACTGCTAAACAAGCTGCTTATATGAAGAAGTATGATGGAATCGTTAAGGCAAATGCCAAGAAATATGCTGAAAAAATTGGATTCTAAATTTAATTTAAAACAAATGGTGATGATAAAGAAAGTATTTAGGTTTTTTAAGAAAAAGATGATTTCACTTTTAACTCATTTTCAAAAGAGAAAAGTATGGAACTAATAACATCATACAATAGAAAAACTTCTTGGTACTTCCAATTATTTTATTATTTTCCTCTTTATAAAACAGTTCAACCATTGTATGAAATTGTATTTCAATTTATTCCTTTTAAAATGAATATACTTCAAACAATAAAGTCTTGTCCAATAATGATCAAATTTATTTTATTTAAAAAATATCCAAAGTTATTTAATTTGTTTAACTCTAATTGGAAAGAAAGGGCGTTATTTAAAATCGCTAATAGTACAGTAAATATTCAAATTCCGTTGTTTATACAAATTTCAATTTAAAGAAGTTTTTGATTGTTTTTTTTTAATGAACTAAAAAGGAAAAGAAAAAAACAATATATTTTAGTTCATGACAGAAGAAATAAAGGACATTAAAGAAAATAAAGAAATGAAAGAATTAAAAGAAGTAATTCGTAGACAACATGAAGTTCTTTTAAAATTAAAGAAAGAAAGAGAGATAATGGAAAATGAAATAAAGGCATTAAAAGAAGAAAAAAAAGAATGGTTAATTGAAAAAGAAGAACTTAAAGGAGATATTCAATGGAGAGAAGAAGCAATAACAATAAGAGAAGAATTGTCGTTAGTTGCAGAAGAATTAGAAAATTGTCAAAAACAAAATTTAAATTTAAGAAGAGAAAATGATAGTCTTAAAAGTGCAGGAGAAGAGGCGTTTCAAATTAAAAAAGAAAAAGAAGAATTAAAAAAGAAAGTAAGTGATTATGAAACTAAAATATTAACATTGGTTAAAGTAGTTGAGCAATGTAAAATTAAAGTTAATAATCAAACAGAACAAATGATGAAATTACATATTCAACTTGATGAAGAAAAATTAAAAACTGAGAATTGGAATAAAAAGTGTTGTGATATCTGTAAAAAAGTACAAATAGAAATAACGCCAGAAGCTATTATTGATAAACTAGAAGAAACAATGAATAAAATTAAACAAATGAAAATACAAGTTGAAGACTATAAATTTAGATATAATAGAGCAATTGAAAGAATGTCTGATTTAGAAAAAAATGATAGTTCATCAATAAAAGATATTGTTTCAGAACAAATACATGAAAATAACTTTATTGAGTAAATTCTTTATTTCCTTTTTTAATTTGTTTTAATTTATTTTAATTTACTTTTAAGTTTGAAAAACTAAAAATTAATAAAATAAATTGTATTTAAAATGGATAATGAATATACTGAACAAATAGCAAAAAAAACTAATGAATTAAAACGTAGAAGTGTTCAAATTTCTCAACACATTAATACAGAAGATAAAGAAGTTTTAGAAAAATTTCAAGAAGAAATGGAACGAAATATTGATAAAGTAAATACTAGTAAAACTTCAATAAATTCAGTTTCTAAAAAACAAAATTCAATTGGGTGGTTTGATTTAATTTATATTGTAATGATATTATTGTTAATAAACTATTTAATGGGAATTTTTATGAATATATTTCATAAATAAATTATTAATTGAATTTATCTCTTTTTATTTAATATTGTAACTTGATTTTAATTTGAAATAATCTTTTTATAATTTGTTATTAGATCCTTTTTTTCATTTGTTAAAAAATTTAATTGTTTTTCAATTGGTATTATTATGAATAGTAAAAAAGAATAATAAAAAAAAAAAGAAAACCCTTAAAAAAAAGAAAAAAAGAGGGTAATAAGATCAAGAAAAACTCCATATTTCCAAAGCCAAGTCACAGCCATGGGAAGGTTTGTTAATTTATAAAGTAATGATATAAAAAAAGAAAACTAAAAGAATAGAATGTATAATCCAGGTAGAGGTATTAGCAGAAGATGCATTCCATATAGAAGAACAGCCCCATCATGGTTAAAAACAAGTACACTTGAAGTTATTGATGAAATGTGCAAACTTGCTAAAAAAGGAATTGCACCATCACAAATTGGAGCAATTATGAGAGATACTCATGGAGTTGGATTAATTAAGAGTGTAACAGGATCAAAAGTACTTAGAATTCTTAAGCTTGCAGGACTTGCACCAAAAATTCCAGAAGATCTTTATTTCTTAATGAAGAGAGCTGTTTCAGTTAGAAAACATCTTGAAAAGAATAAGAAAGATAAAGATGCCAAGTATCATTTGATTCTTATTGAATCTAAGATTCATAGATTAACAAGATACTATAAATCAGCTAAAGTTCTTGAAGCATCATTTAAATATGATGCCAATACTGCTTCTGCTATCGTTTCTTAATTTCGTTAAAGTGAAGATTTTGGTAATGTGTTATTACTGGTTTTTCATTGTTTAAAAAAGTAAAGTATTTTTATTTCTTTTAATAGTTCAAAAGAAATAAGTATTAAAAAGTTGTATTCAATATAATTTTATATTTTTAATATCCTTAAAATTCATTTTCTAATATTCTTAAGTTGTGGTAATGTTGTTTGGTTAATAACGGTTTAAAGTAAGAGAATGTCAATAATTAACTTTACTTGCAAAAGCAATTTTCTTGTATCACGTGTGATAGTATAAAACAAAACAATTAATATCAAAATATAATCACACAAATTTAAGCTTAAAATTCAAATTAAAATATTTGGATAACACTTAGTTTTAAATTTAATAAATTTTAAATTAAATCTAAGTAATAAAACAATTCATTATTTTTTAATAAAAAGAAATTGATTTATGTTTAAATTATGAAGGATAGAAAAAAATAATTAACGTATAAATAGATTGTAAAGCAAAGTGCTAATATTATCTTTTTATTTTGAATGTTTTATTAGTTTTATTGAGAAAAAAAGTGTTTGTATAGAGGCTGTAAATGTTGCATTTTGAAGTGATGACTGTGTTAACGTTATGTATTGGTTTTCACTAAATTTCTTATTCAGGATCTGGACAATAGTTAATTGGAGAAATAGTAATATTATTTCCTTAAACATGGTTGATGTCAGATAGACGCCACTGTTTTTTTTTTTTATTGGGATTATATTATTCCAAGAATAATAATTTGTTAGTAAAAATTCTCTTTATAACTATGAGTTTATTTGAAACATTAATTCTTTTGGTATTACTTAGATATTTATTTAATACTGCATTTAATTTCTAAAATAATGCATTTTTTATATTATAGTTTATAATTACACTTCTTATAATCTCGTATACAATGATTATGCTTTTTATTTGGATATTACCAATATGGTTGTTTCTTTATAACACCATTTGTATTACTTGGACAATAATTTTTGTGTTACTGTTTTTTGAGTAATCGTATAATTTGTTAGTGTATTTGTTTTTTTTCGTTATAAATTAATTTATTTGGTGTGTATTAAACAAGAGTAAACTTTAATTATAATTGTTGTACTATAAAAAATTAGGTTATAATATTTAAGTAATCACTAAACGGTATTTTATTTAAACGATTTGTTTATTCATTATTTGTTTTTCTATTAATCAAGTTACTTTTAATAATTTGAATAAACAAAAATAATTTAAATTAATATTTCATTATTCAATACATATAAGTTCTTTTGCATTTTCAAATAGATAAAAATTTTATAAAATCTATATAAATTTAATCAAATTATTTAGTTGAGTAGCTTAACAACAACATTATATTTTTAAGACAATTTATATTATTTGTAGCACTGTTATTTCTGACTTACTTCTTCCATAAATTCAACTACCTCTTATAATAACATTTAATCTATCTTCACTAAACAAAGGAATTTATTTTTCAAATATTTTTTTAATTATGAATATAGAAATTATTGTTATTTTTAATTTAAATTTATTATTTAGTTTATCTAGTCAAAACAAAAAAAAAGAATAACAAAAAATTAATTTGACTTGATAATTCTTGGACAGAATAAAGTATCAGAGGTTTTAATTTTGAGCTACAAACTGATTATCAGTTTTTTCTTGTTCTTGATTATTACCTTCATTGTCAACTATAAAATTATTGTCCATACCATTAATTTCATTATTACTTCTATTAACAACACCACTAATTTCATTATCACTGTCATTAACAATATCATTAACTTCATTCTCATTATTTTCATTTATAGCACGAGCGTTGGGATCCATTTCTTGATGGTTTTGTTGTTCTGTTTTATTGGTTTCTGTTTCATCAATAATAGTATTGTGTTGAGGGTCATAAGGATTCCAATAGGGATATAATGATAAAAAGAAAGTAAGTAAAGGTTTAAATTTGGAGCTGTGTTGACGATCAAAAGTGAAATGAATTGTAACAATTTTTTTTAAGCACCTAACATGAATGAGTAATGAAAGACTAATAATATAAAATAAATAAAAACAAACAAATAATGTAATAAAAATAATATTCCAAATAGAACTTTTCTAAAATTACTAGTCGAGATTATAAACCAAAGAAATATTAATTCAAATACAGTATAATTGATGAAATATTTATTAATGAACTTAACTTTATTTTTTAAATGGTTATTATAAAAGTTTTCCAACTTTTCATTAATACTTAAAGGAGTTGTAAATGTAGCATAAAGGTATTCAAAATCACCAAGAGTATATAAATAAGTATTGTCATCAATAGGGATTTGATTAGGGTCATCATCTTTTCTAATTTCAATACAAGAAATTTTTGGATGAAGAGAGTGAAATCTTTGAATTGCTTTTTTTACATCACTGATTCGTGATTGAGACATTTCAATATTATTGAACTCAAGGTCTTTTGTTGGTTTTCCTGTTATTGAATTTGCTTTAATAATAAAAGAACTTTTAAATGGTTTTATGTTTCCACAGTCATTGTTTGTCCCATCATTGTTATTATTTAAATTATGAATTCCACTATAATCTGTGTTCATTTTGGTGATGTCTTAATATATTATTTTTAGTTTTTCTTTTTTTTTTAAATTTGGAAAAAAACTTTAAAAGAAACTCATGTCAAAAAGAACATCAAAACCACACAAATCCTCAAAAAAAGTTACTAAAAAAACAACATACCCACACTATGAAAACAAAAAATTCAATGAGGACAGTGTTATTGGAGTAAGTGGATTTGGATTTGAATTTGATGTAGTTCTTTCAATAGTTTTATTAAGAAGTGTAAACCAATTTAAGCGGTCTTCAATTAAGTTCTTACATTCAAAGGAGGAAATGAAAGGATGTGATGTTGTTCTTGGATATGGTGGACAATATGATCCATCATTAAATTTATTTGATTATCATCAAAAGGGATTTAATAATAAATATCCAGGCTCAACATATCTAATGACTTGTTCATCAATGGTATTCCTTAAATTTGGAAAAGAGATTGTTAATTCTTATTGTTTTAAATACATAGATCCCAAAGGTAAATCAATAAAAGTAACAGATGAAATCATTCGATTAGTTTGTAAATTTTATTATCTTAATCGTTTAGAATCAATAGATGCTATTCTTAATGGTGTTTTATGTTATAATGATCCAATAAAATATGAGTCATTAACAGATGGGATTTATGTTACATCTGATTATTGTACAACTATTGATGATATTGAATTAATTGTTGCAAATGAATATAAAAACTTTCACTCAACAATGAATTTAACAATAGAAACAGCAACGTTATATCATCCAGTAATTCGAAAGGCTAAAGAGTCATTACAACAACAAGGTCTTTATAAAAGAATTTTGTTTTGTGATCAATCAGTAAATAATTCTTTGGTAATTGAAGTAGAGAAAGAGCTAAAATGTGAAGGAAATTTTTTATTCTTTATTAGACAGTCTCCAAAAGGATGTTACATTTTTTCTATTAATGAAACACAATTTGTTAACCGTAAAAGTTTACCTAAATCATGGAGAGGTAAAGAAAATGAAGAATTAGAAGAAGCTTGTGGAGAAAAAGGAGCATTTTTTTGTCATCATAGTGGTTTCATGTTATCATGCTCAAACCTTAATGTTGCAAAAAAACTTGCTATTAAAGCAATGACAGAAGAATAAAATTAAATGAAATAAACTAAGAAAAAAATCAATTTAAATTTGTTGTAATTTGTTAAATAATTCTGAGCCATATTGACTTATACCTTGACCAATATATTGTTCATTCCATTGTAACTTTTCACAAATAAAACCTGCTTGTTCTTTAGTGAAATTAGAACCCATGACTTTTAAGATGAGTGTCATTCTTACTACTGCCATTCTAGAATCATAATTTGTAGATTTAAGGAATGGTAACACCTCAGCTACTGATAATTTAGTAAGATTACTAACATTATTAATTGCATCAATAGCATCCTTTGTTTGTTGAACAACAACAAAAGGAATATCTCCTTTAAAGAGATGAAGGTGTTCATTAATAATAATATTATCTGGAGTAAGAATGAACGTTCTATAGAAATTCATTTCTCTTGAGTTCAATTCACATTTTCCAAAAGCAGTAATATTTAATACAGTTGGAAAGAGTGGTGGAATTTGTATTTGGCAAACATCAAATGCAATGTTATTCATTTTATGTGTACAGTGTTCAAATTTATTAACAAATAATGGAGCAATTTTAGGACCAATATATAATCTTGATACATATTCATTTTGAGCAAATTGGTTTGCATGATTTCTATTTGAAGTAGAAAGGAATGTAGCTACACCATCAGATAATGTCAATGAAAATATTGAAGAAGGGTTATAAAAACGAATAAGATCACCAGGATTCTTATCGAGTAATTCAAAGTATTGAGTTAAGAATCCATTTGCATAAGAATAAATGTCAAATGAAGCAAAATATCCAATTTCAATACTTGGGAGATTATTATTAATACTGATAGGAAATTGGAATGCAGTTCCTAATGGCTTTTGATCTAAAAGACGCATTTTTTTAAAATATGTTCTAATTTGGCTAAAGAGGTGGGAAATATATTCTTTAAGTACAGCATAACTGGTTGAATAGAAAAGAGAGAAGTAGAATACTATCTGTATCCTAAAACAAAATGAAATATTATACTCCTCAAAAAGATAGATTTAATCAAATTAAATAAAAAAATTAACAAACAAAAGATAATTTGGGTCTTGAGTAATTGGATTGTTCAACAATGTTAAAACTTCAAGTGGTAAATCTTTAATATGGTCTAATTGATCTACTTGTCTAATTGAATTATTTGTTAAGTCGAGACCCATTAATGAAGGAAATAATCTACCAAGATTTTTAAATGAAACTAATGAAGTTAAATTGTTATTACAATAATGAACTGCTTTTAGTGCTGGTTTTGAAAGGGCAATTAATTCAAAAATTTTGTTTAAAGCAACGTTATCAAAATTACGTTGATACCCAAGTGCTTGTAATTTTTGTTGAAGATTATCCAAATTAATTGAGAAGTCTCCTGCAGTATAACATCTTGAAATAAGTTCTTTAACTACAGATTGAAGCGATGTTGCTTGTGGTTGTTGTTGCATTTCACAAATAGAGACAATTGAGTTGTCATAGTTATCACCATTTAATCTTAATATTTGTTCAACAAGATTTGGAAGTGAAACTGAAACAGTAAAAGTACCATTATTTCCATTTACAAATATATTCTTTTTAATATTTTGACCTGCCCGACTTAACCAATTTACAAGTTGTTGAGATGTACCAGTAAATCCAGTAACACTTAATTTTGTTGTATTTTTCTTTTGGAAAGTACGTTTAGTATTTCCTTTTGATTTGTGGGAGTTCTTTGCCATTGAATATGTTATTTTAAGTTCTTTCATCACTAATTTTTAGGGTTTCTTGACTTCATTTTTTTCTTTTGATTTTTTCATAAATTAATAAAACTTTATTTTCATTTTCTTTTCTTTTTTTAACAAAAACTCAATTTTTAAACTTTTTATTATATTTTTATTTATCATTGTATAATTCCTATGAATTTGTATCATCATAACAAACTCATTTTTTGTTACTACTTTTGTACTACTGTTATTTTAGTGGTTGTTGTCTTGAGTCATCTTTCTATGTTTAATTTATGTTTTTATATTTTTGAGTATTTATTTATCCCTTGTACTTTTTGTGTAAGTCATGTTCCTTTAATGTGTTTTACTTATTTTTTATCATTTCTAGTATCAGATAGTATATTAACAAGAGGTATCAACTTAAAAAACAAAAATAACAACGCTTTATAATAAAAGTTAATAAAAAACTAAATGTATGATTATAGAAGAGGGCATGAAATTGTAATAGTTGAGAGTTAACAGTTAGCGCTTTAGTTTAGTCAGTAGAAAATAATAAAAGTATAAACATCATTTTTTCTTAAGTATAATACTGATAAATATATTTCCTCTTTTGTTTTGTTTTCTTTTTCTACTTTAAAATTATCTTTACAACTTCTTGTTTATTTTAAGTCAAACACTTAACTTGTTCTTCAATTATCTTTTATTTTATTGTACCCTCTCTTTTGTTCCCTATTTTTATTTGATTCTAGTCTTATTTTTTGTTCAATTATTTTAATATTTTTTTGTAAAATACTAATGTTGCTGTCTTTTCTGTGTTTCTATTTCACATCCTTTTCACAATTAATTATTATTTTTTTTCTTAGTTTTCTTTTGTTTTTTTTTCATAATGGGAATTTCTTAACATCTATCAATAACCAAAATAACAAACAATAAAAAATAATATATTATCAATTCTTTTAATTTTGTATTAAAAATCATTGTTTGAAATAAAACCAAATGAAACATATGAACAAGCTATTAAAAGTGTGGAAGGGATATTTGATAGGATGGAGAAAGTGGTTGGAAGAATAATACTGGTAGAAATGAAAGGAATGAATAAATAGAAAAGAAATAAAAATAATAGAAGAATGTAATGATGATAAAGAAATATAATAAAACAAAAGATGACATAATAAATACAGCTCCTGAAATAGAAGGAAAGAATATCAAAGATAAAATTAGGGAAAAAATAAAGTATATAAAAAACTAGACAAAATATAAAATATTTAATATATATTGATTCGGAAGTTGTTAATAGGAAATAAGATAAGTCATATTAAATTAGAGTATAGTAAATAAAAAAAAAACAGGTAATAACTATTATTGGAGATACAGATAGAAACAATTTTTGAGGATATGTTAATGAGAAAATTGATGAAATTTTTAAAAATATAAATGATTCAAAACTTTTTGTATTTTTGATAGAATCAAAAAGAAGAATAAAAGGAATGATGAAACCTCATATTAAAAAACCATAATATACTTTTGAAATAACACATGAATTGCATAAGTTATTACTCAGTTATGGTGATTGTAATATCCTCCTTTTAAGGAAAACTATAACAAAACCATATTATGATAGTCTTTCTCTGAATATAAAGAATATTAAATGTAATTTATGGATAAATATCCAAATTGTTTCATACTAAAACGAATTATTGTAATTAAAATGATTTTTATATTTATGTTTTATTTAAAAATTAAAATAGAAAAAGCCAACTGAATGATATAATCCGTGAAAATTCATTATTTCTGTGCACTTAATTGTTTTATTTCTAATGAAAATTATTATATAAAATGAAGTATTTAAAAACAACAAAAAGACTTAATCTAAAAGAATTTAAGTAATAATAATGCACAAACCAATGATGGCCATTAGAAAATAATATCTAAAAAGATTTTTTTCAAAACCAAATTGTAAGCAATGATAGAAGAATAGGAGTTTAAAAGTATAACAAAGTGATTATTCTAAATAATAAAACTAAGGAACGTTCCATAATTATCCTCAATTGTTTTGAGAAATAAACATAAAATAAGAGAAGAATTAACAATAAAACTATTAAAATATAATAAAAAAAGTAAAATCAGCAACTTGTTATTCAATTAAAGGTTAACATAAGTTGATTGTTTATAATAAAGACAAGAAAAACCTAAATTTTGATGAGAGTTCTATATTAATGAAAAACAAAAAAGTATTTTAAAAAAAAAAAGAAAAAAATTAAAAAAAGATTTAAATAGAAAACACAGAGTGATGGAGCCATATGATGATGAAAATGATTCACTTAGTGACATGGACGAAGAGGATGATGTTGAAGACATTAATGACTATCACTATGGTGGATATCACAAAGTTGAAATTGGTGAAGTTTTCAATAAAAAATATATTGTAAAAACGAAACTAGGATGGGGTCATTTTTCCACTGTTTGGCTAGTTGAATTTCAAAATAATGGCAAGGTTGAACAAGGAGCATTAAAGGTTGTTAGAAGTGCACAAAAATATACAGAAACCGCACGAGATGAAATAGAAATACTAAAAACTATTTCAAATAATGATCCATTAAAAAAGTGTTATTGTTTACATCTTATTGATTCATTCCAACACCGAGGATTAAATGGAATTCATATGTGTATTGTTACTGAAGTTGGAGGAAGTAATTTATTATCTCTAATTAAATTATACCATTATCATGGAATTCCACTAGAAATTACAAAAGAAATATCACGACAAGTATTAGTTGCATTAAACTATTTACATAATAAATGTTCTCTTATTCATACTGATCTTAAACCAGAAAATGTATTATTAAATTTTGTTATTGATCATAATCATATTAAAAGAAGAAACCAAGTCCCTCCTGCTAATAATATTAAAGTTATGTTGGCTGATTTTGGTAATGCCAATTGGATCGAAAAAAGATTCACAAATGATATTCAAACTAGACAATATCGTTGCCCAGAAGTTATGTTAGGGCTTCACTGGGGATGTCCTGCAGATGTTTGGTCTCATGCTTGTATGATCTTTGAACTATTAACAGGTGATTTCTTATTTGCTCCAAAACAAACAACTCATTATTCCAAAGTTGAAGATCATTTTGCTCAATTTATTGAACTTCTAGGACCAATTCCAAGAAATATGATTGACAATTCTCCTTATAAAAGAAAATATTTTACAAATGATTATGGACTTAAGAAAATACCAAATAACCAGTTATCTTATTGGCCACTCGATATGGTTTTAAGAGATAAATACAAATTCTCAGAACATGACTCAAAACAAATAAGTTCTCTTCTTCTTCCAATGCTTGATTATAATGAATTAACTCGTGCAAGTGCAGCTCAATGTCTCACTCATTCATGGTTCAATTGAATTTGTATTGTATAATTTTTATTAAGTCTTTGTTAGAAACAATACAACAATGTATTAATTGAATCATTAAAAAATATTACTTCCTATTCTCTTTAATTGCTCCATAAAATAATCAAATAACACCACTAACTTTATCCACTTTTTGTTGGTCTCACCAGTAATTAATCTAAATACCTTTTTATAACAAAAAGCAAGTAAAGAATTATTTATCTTCTTAATACTTTCATTTATTACATTTGTTGTGTTTTTTGAGATCACCTTATTATTTTCATATTACTTTTTATAAAAGTGATTAATTTTTATTCAATGCTCTTGAGAAGAATTAAATATTTTTGAGTATTTTATTATTAATATCTATTAAGTAATAATATTATTATTATCATTTAATTATTATTACAATTGTATTAAATGATAATAAACTAGAAATATACTTCATAGAATAATTAAAAGGAGTTATTTGAAAAGAGTAAAGAAACAAAGAGAGTCTTAATTAAGTAAAGTGATAATAAGATGTTGTCAGAAATTCATTAATAAATTTTATTACAATTTTATTATGAGTTGAGAAATAATTTATTTTAAAAAATTAATAAATTATTTAATAAATTATTTAAAAAAAAAAAAGCTAAAAAAAGATAAACAGAGTTTGAACTACTTTTTATTACTATTTTTAATTGTTACTTATGTTCATACTATTTCTACTTTGTTTTAGTGTCTTATGTTTAGCAACTGACGTTTCAATTAACACCTTTTATAAGGCAGAGTACAGTGGGAGTGAGTTATTAATTACTTTCTCATTTCAACCAGGCTCAAGTAATTATTTTTATATGAATAGATGTGGTTCTGATTTTGGTTTGTTATATTTTAAAAGGAGTTATAACTTATTAACAAAATTTGTTTAATGAAATAGCAATTCAAGGAACTTTATCAGACGGGTTTTTGTTAAATGGAAATATTCCTGATGGTACTGAAGTAATTAAAAAAATATCTCAAGATGCAACTAGTCTGTTTGTTAGATTTTAATTTAAAAGCAAAAGAAAGGAATATTAAATTTTATTTAGAACAGTTAAACTCACAGGATGTTCTAATGACTCTAATGGACAAGCTAAATGTTCATGTGTAATGGAAGTTTCTAATGTAAAAAAAGAAATGATAAATGGAAGAGTGTTAACTGAAGTTGCACAAAAACCAATTACTAAAAAAGATAGTAGTTCTTCTGAAGAAGAAGGAAAAACAGTCCTTTTTATGTGGGACTTATTAAAAGGATTAGACAATACTACAGTCATTGCACCATCACTTTCTGACTATAAATTTAAAACACTTACATATGTTGATAATCCTTCTGCAGGTGGACTATGTTTATTATATGGTATTTCAGATGTTACTGTTGATGCTCAAGTATATACTGATAAAAAATTACAATTAGGAATGGGTAAATTCAATCCACAATCAAAACAATTATTGTATATCGTTGCTGAACCAGCTGGTTATTACCCTTATTATTATAATCCAATCACTGTAGAAGCTGGAGTGTCAGGAATATTTGTTACATTGTTTGTTTTCATGATTGCTTTCTTGATCTAATGATAATTCTTTTTAAATTAAAATAATATAATTTTAATTTATTTAAAACTATATAATCTAAAAAATTTTTAATTAATTAAAATATATAATAAATATAAAATTTTACTTTTATAATTTATTTTCTTCTTAAAGTTTTCTGAGTGAATTTTTTACTTTATTTAAATAAATATAAAAACTAATATTAAGTATAGGTAGAGTTCTCATCATTGTTTATTGTTAGGAAACTGATCTCACACTTACCATGGCGTTATTTATATTTTTAATTATAATAAATAAAAAATGAATGATAAAATGAAGATTTTAGTTATTATAATAATTTAATCTTTTTTGTATTTATTAAATTAATTTTGAATATATTATTGATTTAATTTTATTTATTCCTTTTCTTATTTCTTTTATTTATTTATTCTTTATTATATTTAAGTATTTAATTATTTCTCTTATTTGTATTCTATTTCTTTGTTATATTGTGGTTTCATCTTCTTCATTTCTTTATTTTCATTTATTTTATTTCATTTTCATCGTCATTATGATCTTATCATCATTGTTTTGTATTTATTATTTTTATTTCTTTAAAAAAGAATGAACAAATATAAAAATATCAATATATTATTTGATTCAATTATTGGTGATTTAAATATTAATACAACATTAATGAACAAATTATACAGAATAAAGAAGAAGAATGAGATACAAAACAAATAAATGATACAATAAATATAAAAATGATAAAGATGAATAAATGATTAAAATTTGATTTTATTTTCAATAAAATCAAAAAGAAAAATAAAGAATAAATAAAATAATATTAAAAATAACAATTTACATTTATTTAAACAATCAAATCATTGTTTGTTTTTGATATTATATTTTTTATAAATAAAATATATAACAAAATCATTTTTTAACAATATTCATTTTCATATTAATGAATATCAAATATATAATATTGAAAAATATCAAAAATATTTCAAATAAAACAAATCAATGTAATTGAAATGAAAATAATAAATAAATCAAATATAAAAATAAAAAGAATAAACAACAAAACATTAAATATGAACAATTCATTTATCAATAAATGAAATGATAAATAAAAATAATATATTTTAATTCTTCATTTATTTCATTTAAAATAATCACATTCAATATATTAATTTAACATTAAATAATAAAAATAAATAAAAATATAATAAAATTAATAATTCTTTTTATTTATTTATCATTTATATTATTTTATTATATTATTTTATATCATAAATATCATTTAACAATTACATTGTTGTATATTATATTTCTTTTATTTCTTTATTATTATTATTTATTTATTCATATTAAATAGTTATATTGTTATTTGTATGTTTCATTTATGTTATTATATTCTTTAATTTAATAAATGAATTAATATGAATATATTTCATTATTTATTAATTATATTATATTTCGTTAATATTTTATTTATTTTCTATTTTGATTTTTTCTCTTTATATCATTGTATTGATTTCATTAATTGATAATTCAATTTAATTCGTTTCAAATAAAGAAATAGAAATGAAATATAATTTATATAATTCATTAATAATAAAAGAAATGATAATAAAATATAATGAAGATACTTTTACATCAATATATTTTTAATTATTAATGTTTATATATTTATTCGATTACTTCTTCATTACTTCTTGTTATTTATCTCTTTCTTTTTCTTCATTGAATTTTTCTAAATATTATTGATTTTATATTTATATTATTTCTCATTTGTTAATTATTAAGTATTGCATATATTCAT